ATCGCTATCGGACGGTTAACGCAAGTGACTTCGAAGTATCAGATATCGAATTAACGAGGTTTACCTGTAGAAGTATAGTATTATGTCTGCATTGCAGCGCTCTTCCCGTATAGTGCTACACTTGTGAGAGTTAGTACTTACATTATCAATGTCACTAATGACAGCTGGTCATCGCGATGCGAAGGCCAGACGAAAGCACATGGTGACACGAGTCAAACCCAAAGGGTACCTAACACGAAAACGGAAATTCATGGAGCAGGAGAAAAAAAAAATAACCCTAACGAAATGGAAGCCAGAGACATGTGGACCGGTGGGCTGGCTTTAGCCTTTCGCCCTAAGGCTGTGTCTCTCTTGTCTCTTGGCATCTTGTCTACAAAGTCATCAGAGAAGAGAATTTAACTAAAGGCGACACTCCATTCGAATCGCATTCATTGACGAAGTATAGACGTGACCGTCCATCCTCTACGTAGCGGGCCATGTCACGGACTCCTCTATGGCCGAGCAGCTGACTCAACCAGACAAATGCATTCCGTTTAGACTCCATGACCTATGAGTCGAACTCTCGAATGCATCATATCCCAATCCCGCTATCGCGAAGCATGACTCACTGAAGTGTTATTGACTGGGGGTTACCAGATGTCTCTTTAACGCGTTGACCGGCTGTGACACGTCGCGTGTCAAAAAAAAGCCAAGTGGCAGTCTTCGCGGTCAAAGTGTTAATATTCGAACTCCTCAACATCGAGTGACAGCCGTAATTGCACTCACTATTCTTTGATATTCATCCTTACTTGATTTTTTCCTTCACCTGGTGGATGAGCCTAATCGGCAGAACGTCCTCGTGCCATTCGGGATGCTGAGATTCATTCCTAGCTCCAGGCGTTATTTGGTTATCAGGTATGGGATTGTGCTGAGCTTTGAGCTGACTTTGTTCCTATGCCTGGTCGAAACGGCTGAGAGATTTCTGAAAAGCAATCTTTCCTTTTGTTTATATTTACCTCATGAAACCGTATGCAATATTGCCATGGATGGCAATCTATGTTTCAGAGTCGTTGGTCTCAAGATTCAAGATTCGGGATTCAAGATAGTTTGTGATATCAAGAGGCGATTTCGCCCTATCGATATCACGTGTCGAGGTCGAGCGTTCCTTAATTTTAGGGTAGGCCTAACCCTCTTCAAGCTAAATACCTTGTATATATATATATTTTTTTTTTCTCTGTTATCTGCCTATCCTAGTTGCTTACTGTCTAGTACCTAACGTCAACATTGCCCCCCACCTTTTTGTCTGTCCATGAAAGCATCTAGTTTCTTCTTAAAGATAGTCACAGCGCGGGGCAGCTACTACTTCGTCATCTAACGCATTCCACGCGTTCACCACTCTGCAAGTAAAGAATTCCTGTCTCGACCTGTCCCGCACCTGCAGTTGGCGCAACTTAAGTTGGTTACCTCTCGTTCTCTTGCTGCCATCAAACTGGAAAAACCTACTACACTCGACATTATCTATTCCTTTAATTATCTTGAAAGCCTGGATGAGATCGCCCCTCCTTAACCTTCGTTCGAGCGAGTACAGTCCCAACACTTCTAAACGCTTCTCGTATGATAGTCCCCTAACCTCCTTAATCATTCTTGTGGCCCTCCTCTGTACTCCCTCGAGCGCCAACA